CCTACTTGCTCCAACTTACTTGTCATACTCTGCGTTGTCCTTGTCGCACCGTGCGTCTTTGTGCTTCTGCCAGTCTTTGCCGTGCTTGCAGGTGGTGAGCAGCACCACGTCCTCGGCGTTGTGAACGTGATATAAGGCATTCCTTGTGTCCGAGCCGATGCCGGTCAGGTAGCGCTTCCCCTTGAACACCAGCATGTATTTTCTGAAAGGCGGGATGGAGTTGTACTTGAGGTACCCCCTCTCTCCACCCGTACGCGGGTGCTCCTTGGAGAAGAGGGGGATGGACACGTCAAAGTTGGGCCTGAAGTTCTCGGTGCTGATGCTGGCTTTGGCCAGCATGGCTTGACCGATGTCGAAGCCCAAATCTTCCGTATAGTCCGGCCACGTCCCCGAGTACAAGTTAAATATAAGGTGGTTCCTGCCGTCGTTCCACAGGGGCAGGTTCTGGACCTTGGTCTTCAGGTTGTGGACGTATTGAGGGGACAGCTGGTCCCGGTCCAGAGTGTCCAAACTTAGAACGAACAAACATGCCTGGCCAGGGTCCGAGGTGTAAAACCTGGACCCCTCGATGGTCGATAAAATATTCTGGTAACTCTCTGAGATCTTCTCCCCCTTCTGCTGCGGGTAAACATAAACTTTGAATCCGTTCTTTCGACACAGAGAAAAGTCAAAGCAGGAATCCATGCGACACCTTTTGCCTTTGTAAACACTTGTGTTGATGTCCCTCTTCTGCCTCGGAGATATGTGCAGGTTGTAATCCGTGGTGTCGGTCTGATCCCAGGGCAGGAAAAGATGTAAAGGGTCCGAGAAGTGAGGCCAGGGCTGCTCGGGCCGGTGCCCGTTTCTGCTGCGGTCATGCCGGCTCCTGCTCGCCGCTGGAAGTTGAACCCCTCCGAGGTAGAAGAGAAGCACTAGACACGCACCGGCGGAGAGCAGGATCAGGTAACGTTTTTTGGCCTGCATGTGTCCTGAAAACAAGGGCGAGTTGTTCAGGAATAAGAAATGTAAAGTGGCCCGAAGTTAGGCTCTCACTAACCCCGACTACACCGCTCCATCCTCCGGCAGCCTCCAAGGATCCCCAACCCCCCTTCTGCGTATTCGGTTCCCAAATCCAGCAATTGATCCAGTGCATGTGGGCGATTTTAGAAGTCTTGTCCCTTTCTCCCTCTTCTGTAGAGTTTCACCATATCGCACAACGCCTAGCAGCCGGGCTCTGGTGCACCCACAAAGATCAGCGCTCTCCGGTCCCTCTCGGACACAATCATATGCAGCCACTCTTCTCTCCTGCACTTCTTCTCACCCTCATTCAGCCTGGCTGCACGGAGGGTGGGGGGGCTATTGAAATGGAAAACTGTCAGACAGCCGCCTGGGAACTCCGTCCTCCCGGATAAATAGCGGCTGGGGTCCCCGAGGCTCTCCCAGACGTAAAGGTACAGCCCGGATTGGATGTTAAACTCGGCAACACGCTGACCGGGCAGTGTAAAAACACGTCGGTACGGCCACCACGCGTGTATCCAAATGCCTCTGGGTGAATTCGTCCGATTCTCCCACACACCCCCTCCTTTTCCCCTTTTTATTGCTCCATGGTCCCGTGTGAGGAGAAGCGGAGAAAAAAAAAAGCCGGGGACTCGTCGTAGCGCAGGAGGAAGCTCAGCGGCACAACTGTAACCTGACGAATCCCTGCATTTCTCTTATTTATTACAACCTCCCCACATACGCGCTCTTATTCAATAAAAAGCTCGTCGGCGAAGAGCCGCACGGCAGGCGAAGTTATCCGGAAGACACGCGGGTAACAAACGGTGACCTCAGACTGACTAAATAGCTGAGAAAATGTTCAAAAAGACGGGATTCCTTGATCCTAGTGTCCAATTACCGAGTGCTCAGTTGTTCCGATTGTTGGTCGCTAACATTCCAATCCCGACACGACGGCAGCCGACGCGACGCCCCATCGGCTCAAAGACGCCGCCGATTGGTCAAACTGTGGGAACGGAAGAGGCGGGACTAGCGGAATGCACCCATTCATAACCGGAGTCTTCCGCATGTGCAAATTATCTAATTGTAAGCCTATATGGAAACTGGAGCTTTGCCAGAGAGAAAAACACTCTCAGTTTAACAGAAGCTGATAGCGTTCGGGAGGAGCGGCTCGTCAAAATCTCGCGGAGATGCTCGTGCTGTTTGCGGCTGGATCAAACGTTTTCTGTTTTACCCGCGCGCGTTATATTCAGTTGTCTCTTTTCTGCATTTCTCCCACAGTATTCTCCGTGGCCTGTTTATCCTTTAACCTGAATGTGCCCAACTTTGATGCTGTAGACAGGGAAAGACTGAAGGGGAAACTACAGACAGTAACTGAACAAAGCAACAGTAATCAAATATTATTGAAATCAGTTCCTGCTAAATTACATACAGTTTCACTTCTTCTTTCTTCTGACATTATTCCCGTTTTAGAGACGAATGTTTTTGTGACTGTCTGTGTGTCATTTGTCAGCGGTGATTATTAATAGCTGACAAAAGAAGTTAATGAGAAGTCAACCAGGTTTTTGCTTGATAAGTGTGCGATACTGCACATTTTTTATCAATCCGATGCCAAGTAAATATAGTGTCAGTATTGCCGATACTAACACCGATACTTTTTTGGGGTCAAATTATGTTGTTAAAATATAAATAAAATAGACGTGACAGTAAGCACAAGAAGATTCAGACATTTTTTTGTAGTGTTTGATGCATAGTTTTTACATTTCCAGTAGTAGTAGTAGTAGTATAATTTAATAATTTATAATATAATTTATAAATTTAATTTTTATACTTTTATAATTTAAAAGTTAATTAATAACAGTATGTAGCCCACTAAAGTTTAGTGGGCTACATACTGAGCTTACTGATCCTATTGCACTAATATCGGTCCAGTACCGATTGCTTCAATGCTATCGATATTTACGTCAGTGCATCCACCTCTGAGAAATGCTCCTTGAGAAGTGGCCACATTTAGTCAGTCACAGATAGACGTGACTCTGTGCACAGCTGCTCCATCCTGTTTGATAGTAGTTTGGCTGCACATGCTTGACAGGATTCCAAAGTGTAGGGTTATTATTAGGGGCTAAGACCCCAAGAACATGAATGCAACTCTGCAGGCAAATATTCGCCTGGTTCTCATCAACTTCCAGCACTGACCTTTGCCAGTGCTGTTAACAGGCTGCTGGCTTTGAGCACGGCTTGTTATTCAGTATTTGTATTTCTCACAGACTTAATAATATTACCTGCAAAGTCCACAAATATAGCTGTGTTTGAATAAATTAATATCATAATTGCTCAGCAAATAGCCTCCTAATTATATGGAGATTTATGGCTGTAAACAAAAAATCTGCTGCAGTCACATTGTGTTGTGTCTCAACAGCCAGACCACCAGGACAGCCGGTCCAAGGCATTTATTTTCTTAAACATTAGCTCTATTAACTCAATGCATGGTCTATTGTTAGACTGGTTTTCATGGAAATCCCAAATCACCTACCCGCAGTCCTGACTGTGCAAAGAGAAGGAAAATCCACTCAAGTAAGATAAGCCCTTTGTAATTTGCCTGTAACAAGTTGTAACACCGATATCACCCAGGACTCAACATCTGCTTAAATGAGTGATCTCATTGTTCATTTGTACCAGGGCGCTAAATGAGAAGAAGTTGTCGGAAGTCAACCCCGAGCCAAAGTTTTCTCGCATCCGCTAACAAACCAAAGTGACACAGCAGAGGCGACCCGCTTGACAGGGAAATTAATAGCGGAGGAGTGGTTCTCGCTGAGTGTCACCATGCCTCATAAGCCCGCATAATCCTCCCTACTGCCGTTTGGTGGCACAACATTCGGGCTGGGTGAAGAGGCCATCCTCATTTTTTATCGGCCAATTAGCTCAGAAGAGGGGGAGTAATTAGCAGGGCTGGCTGGGAGACAGGCCAGGATCCTGAGGTTGGCCAGTGCTCATCGTCAGAATATGTTGGTGATGAAGAGGCCTGGGTGCTGTTCCAGAGTGCTGCTCTTGTCTTCAAAGTTGTCCCGCTTAGTCTGATGTCCATTAGTCCAAAAATGCTTCACATTTTCCTTTATGCAAAATGTGGTTGTTTTGCACCCCAGGTTTAACTCCAATAGTGTCTTCTTGCACCCTTAGAGCATCTCACAGTTGCCATACTTGCAATGCCGCTCTTGCCTTTGTTTATGCCTGGGGGGACTTTTCTCTCTTGATTGCTTGGAACTCTAATGAGACTAAATGACACTGGTTGCTAAATGCCACTGGAAACGAGGATTGTGTTAACCAGAGAATTTAGTGTAATTTGAGACGTGCTCTCTCAATAAAAAGCTTGTATCTTTTGAATGCGGTGCGTGCACATCATTTCACATTTCCGTAAATCAGGTGAGACAGAGAGACGCAGTTGCTTGAGCAGAGGCAGCTGTGTTAACCGCTCACCATCAAAGGCACCACATACCCTCCCCAGTTCATCCCATGTATTCCAACTGTTTTGGAACATTTTGTGGCTGTGTGGTCTCGGCATGATTGTGATGAGGGCTGGGAGTCGTTCCAGTGAGCTTTGCCTTGCTCCGCTCGCTCATCCTTCCTTGTGTATGCTTCTAATATTCCCACCACAGAAAAAATTCCCTGCTACAGTCCCGCTTTTGTCTCGCTTTCCTTCACAGGACTGTATTAGGGTGGAGATTTGTGAAGGTGAGAAAGCCTTTGGTCGCCTGTGAAGCCCTATAAGGTGGATTGTGCAACACTGTCACGTAAAACATTCCTTTTTAATCAGCCGAAAAGAGAAAAAAAAGGGACCTGAAATAAAGAAAAACATGTGCTGATTTTCTTCCCACCCCCTTAAACACAACCCTGATGACAGTGTGGTCATGTGCAGGGAATTTAAGAAGTAGAAGTGACTAGTTTTTACTACCAGGAAAAGAGAGAGGCATTCAAAGGCTATTAGGACTATTTGGGATGCATACGTATGGAATAAAGATTATTAAAGTAATGCTACATAAGTTCACCATCACTAGAAAATGCTTCCCAGTGTGCAAATGGCCAAGTATTTGAGAAGAATATATGGGATTGTAAACCACGTCTATAGAAAAATATTACACATTTTTAACATTGAATGTAACAAATTACCTGTTAATAGCAAGCAAATACATATGCAGCATTACTGCACAGCTAATATGATACTCAATTTGTAGATTTAATAAATGGATGAATTTTTGCTTGTGCAATCTCTACATTTAATATCTTGACCCCTCATTTTGCATTGGAATAAAATGATAAGATGCTACACAGTGTTGTCTAATGAAAAAAAAAAGAAGCAATAATTTCTCTTATTTTAAGCCGTGACTGAGCAAACACGCTAAGAAGGTAGTTAAACAAAGACCTGGATTACCGGTGGACTGACTCTCCTTGCACAGATAAACTGTGTATAAAACACTTCCCCTCAGTGACGGCAAGTAGCCACGATAAAGACTTGCAAATTCAGGCTGCGGTAAACAAATACCCATGGCTGAAAGGTAATCTGTGAGTTCAGAGAGTTTCAGGCAAAAGGAAGACAAAACAGCCTTTGGGCTGCTGCTGATTGGTCGCTGATAAACTCCCCTCAGGATGATGTAACAAGCTCGGCTTGACAAAGGGCATGTATGTGTGTGTATGACGGTGCGCACAGGCTCTTATGCCCCAAAAAGACTGGATTTCAGGTGGGTTTGGGTCCATGCACCTGGCATGCGAATGCACTGGAGACTATATTTTGTCGGCTGTCTGTGTGTGCATGTATACGATGAGTCACAAATCTTATTGAGTTTGCTTTTAAAGCCTGTGAAGTCCCACCTAATACCTGGGAATAGAGTTCCACTGATGTACTGTGTAATCTTGGCTACATGGTCTCACTGGGAGTGTGCTCTTCCTGCCGCTTTTATTTAGAAGATTCAGAAAATAACACAAAAGCTTTCAGCGAGCTCTTATTGAAGCATTTGTCTTGTCACCTGCTTTACAATTCCCAAGTGCTATATTGTTGCAAAGTTTGGGTGGGTAAAAGTTGAGAGACACGGAGATGCAAACATATTATAATGAAATGCTGGTCAAAACAGTGTCTGCGTTGCTCAACCTGAGGCAATAAATTAATTCCACATATTCTCATGGCTGACAAACAACAAACGGCACAATGACAAACAGGTCAGAAGTTTAGCTTAAAGAACTGATGAAGCTGTGGCAAGTGAGTGGGAGTCAATCTGGACTTTCTGTTCTGACTGCTAGCCTCACGGACTGCTCGAGGCTACTGAATGCTAAATGGTGTAGCCTTGGCTATCCTTTCAAAGTGCTGCTCATTCCGTGTGTGGGATGCCTAGTAATCTCCTTATTCTTTATTTATTTAAAGCGACCTTTCGACTCCCGAGCCGAGATTGCTTTGGGCAAACTGAGCTGGGTTTAAATGTTCGGGGGTGTGGGAGGGAGGCCATCGTTTGTTGCCAGGGCCCTGAGCCAACCGCGCTCAAACTCTACAGTTTTAACCCCAGAATTCTTCTGGGAAGCGCAGGCTGGCAGGCAGCGGCAAATGAAGCGTTTCAGGTTAGATGTGGTGATAGGTTTTTGTCCTCATTAAAAGAGAAATCCCTGCCACTGCTTCCTCATTTGTATTCCACGGCAATTCATTCGAGGTGGTTTTTGATTTGAGGGATTTGGATGGTATAAGGCCACTGAAGCCAGGAGGAGAAGAATGAATCTTGTAGCTTCATCTTACGCAAAGCCCTGAAAGAACAACTTTACATATACTTTTCCCTCACTTACTTTCCAACTTTGCTATTAAATACAAACCCTCCGCCTTGGCTGAGCAGCAGGAAAGTATTCCTGCATATGGAAGGGTCTAGCCCTCGTCCCGTGAAACACCTATTCTTAAG